TACAAATATGAAGGGTAATTTTGAATTTTTTGGAAACGGTAAAGGTCAAAGTAGTATTAAAACATAAAAAAATCAAAAAATCTGTCTAGAACGAAAATGGCTCACATTCAAAAAGCCATCAAAAATATTGTGTACTTTGTCGAGGCCCGTGACGAAATGCTTCCAAAACGTCAACGATTTCTCCATATGTACGGTGATCTGTAACTGTAGAATATATCATACTTCTTCTAGAAAAGATCCGAGAGGATACGGTAGCAGAGAAGAATACGTGGGAGATTAAAGGGTGGAGCTCACCTTTTTTGGTACATCGCCAAATGGCGCGATTTCTTCCATGCCTTCAATCATACAACGACGCTGACTCGCCGACACCGTATGCTGAAAGCGTTGAGATGGATTTGAATCAGGCAGTGTCGGATGAAAAACTTGACTGAGGCCGAAGATTCCATAAAAGGAAACTTTGTGAGAACAAAACTGACTAAGAGGAATTCTCGGGCCCAGGGATCCGATGCAGTAGAGGAAAAAAAGCTTTGAAAACCGGGCCGAAAATTCATCTTAAACCTTAAGTCTTAAAAGAATAAGAACATCTAGGTTTTTAGTTAGGAGAGAACAAGTTTTTCAATTCGTTTATTTATTTACGCCCCAAACTGACATCTTCTAGGTGCAAGTGATGCTCTAGAAAGATAAAGCTTCGGGTGTGAACTAGTCTTGGAATGTGCCCACTCACCCTATCCCACTTCAGTCAATAGGGGACTATCAAATGAAGCGTCAATGTCGCTACAGTCCTAAACAGGTCCATCCCCTTCAGCTGATCCCAGCTGAATGTCTTAGTTAACCTTGAGAACGAAATCTAGTTCAGCTGATGCTCCCAGCCTTTGGAGTTCGCCGCTCTTTCCGACTCTTTAAATCCTCAGGGCTAGCCAGGCCCCCGATTACCCGAGTCTAACAAGGTGACCAACTTATCTACAGCTAAATCATTTTAATAAGGCAGCCAGGTCTTTATCTTGCGTCCCCTCAGACTTCAAACCGTCTCCCCATTTTTTCTCGAATCTTACTCTTCAGCTTTCCCCGGGCTCCACCTCAGTGAATTACCTATTTTCCGAGGAAAAACAATTGGAAAAAAGTAAAAATTTCGAACTAAAATGCAAAAAGCTCTCAAAACACACAAAAATCCACGATAACTGGACGGAAAATCAAAAAGACGTTTAGTTGAAAGAAAAAGGAGTGAGCACAAAAAAGTAAAGAAGCTTACTGTGGAAGAAGAATCAACAAAAGTACTCAGCAAAAAGATCTACTGAACGGATTTCAGAAGAAAAAACGCTCCGAAGAGAACAGGGCTCGAAAAGTGTACATTAACAGCACAAACTTTGAGAAAGACCAAATAAACTCAGGCAGAGCATGACGTCTTTCTCGTTCCGCTACTACTGTCAACTGCCTTTACTTTCTCATGAGAAAAATTAATTACGATTTTGAAAAAGGATAAAACCGATTGCTGTTTTTGAATTATTTGAAGCCAGAATTTACTCAGTAGATGGATTATGTCGGTTGTAACGTTCAAAAGTTACCGTATCACTAAACATCGATTGTATTATTTGCCTGTTTGTTTGCTTATTTATTCACTGGCATATGCATAATTACACACTTTTAAAAATTATCGTCATTTTTTGTCGTTACGTCTCGTTCTGAACTATTTCCAGATCAACTCATCAAAAGATTGCTATCGGAATTGAATATTAAAGAGCCTCATATTATCATTATACGTCATTGGTAGCATTTTTATTTGTTTGTTTACTTATTTTGTGTTTATGTTTACACTACTACAAACCTCTTCAGAATTTATGTTTTATGTTTCTGAATTTATAATTCCGATCAAATCAAGTGTTTTCATATATCTTCTTTTATAGACTAATTAAGTGGACTTACCAAAGGATTCATCAGTTGAAACATGATGACGAACATTTCCTCAAATAGTTGACCAGTAATTTGTGATACTTTGGCATCGGAAAACGGTGAAGAGAAAGCCCGTAGACGATTGAAAAACGTATCGAAGATCTGTAGATGAAATAGGCTGTATTGATTTTTTCGAGCTCATTCCCCTTTGCTTTCATTCCCACGATCGATGATGGGTGATCGTGAGGGAAGAATGAGGAGAGACCATTAAAAAGACAATAAACACCTGAGAATTGCTCTGATAGAATGCTCCATAAGTACGATCGAATAGTGTATCCAAGTGTTCATGACAGGCATTAAGTGAATTGTAGAAGAATGCTAAAGGAAATCGATCAATAACATCGATTAATTCGTCTCTAACACAAAAAATCAATAGCCTACTTCTAAAACCGTTCAGATGTGAATTGATCATATGTCGTAGTACAAGAAGTTTATCTTCCAGTTGAGCTTTGAAGTTCTTCTCGGAACTCTCGAGAATTTCATCTTCAATTTGTTTTGTACAACAGGCGTTCTTACCAGTGCAGATCTTCAGATCTGGAGCTAAAAAAGATGCATATTTTAAAAAAAAATTTAAAAATAATCACGTAATAAACAAAAGGAGGAAGTGACTGTGGAAAATTCTCGAAATTCCATTATAGATTGCTTTCTTTTACGTTTAGAAAAAGCATAACAAATATTCTTTACGAAAAGTTAGTTGCAACTGAAACCGTTCTTCAAGCTTAAATACACCTTGTAGGTGTGTCATCGGGAATGTTTGTTGTTATAGAAAAACATCGTCGTTGTGCAATCTGACTTTTGACTCACTTAAGTGGATAGCAAAACTTCTCAGATAGAAACGCATCAGCCAAAACTCCCTAATAGGCACCCAAGCTGCTACCTACACTCTCTATAAATCGTAAAAATCTTTTGTATGATTGTTGGACGATTGCCAAGGACTGATACTACCAGTGATGAGCGAGTATATGGGAATTGGGACGTCGATAGAATCATCCGTAACTGATGCACTTCATCACGGGTACGAATTTAGGATACGGTAGGAAAAGGAGGGAGAACACAAGACAATAACAATACCGTAAATAATGCTTGTTTTACTAAAAATAGTCCCCTACTCCCATTTTACCAGCACGTTCACAGCATCAAAGCCTCGTTGCCGACCGTCTCGTTGTGTTTTTGTGACGCATATGGGAGCCGACTAACGCACAATACTGGCTAACATTCCCCCACAGGGATTTAATTAGTATTAATTACAACATAATTATAAGGCAAATTGCATACAAGTTACTCATTTGAGTAAGGAGCCCGTAAAAAATTAAAAATCAAAGAAAAAACCGACCAGCGCCTTTTTTAAGTAGCGTAGAATAGTCATAGTGAGACTTCTTTAACATCTCACATGACGTTGAAAGACAGACGGCCGGGAATAGCAAGTAGATGAGCCATGAGAACGGTCTCAACCTCATCTTCGATACCGATGTGGTTGGGCACTTACTATCTCTGACAGTGATGGCGTAAGCACGAGGAGGCGGAGCTGAGGGACGAGGCGGGGTCAGCTAAATGGCGGCAGCGGTGCCTATGGCCAGGTCGTCACGACTGAAACACCTCAGACCAGGTACTAGCGCTAGCTGATACCAGCTACCGATAAAGCTAATTGAGATCTATGAGTTATCAGGGTTATGGGAACGTGCTGGATGAATTTGGTCTGCATTGGTCGGGTAATGGAATCAGATCAAGGGAATACTTCCAAAGAGACCAGAATTCGCTGAATACCAACAACGATTTATAAAATCTGTATCCGACGACGGTCCCGAAGTTTTCAAGTATATGCCACCCATTGCCTAAATTGGAAGTCGAAGAGGTCCCCGAATTGGGATAATGATGATCTGCGACGGTCTACAGCTTACTTGATTAGGTAGACGATGCTTTTATTTACAACTTTACCTTATCCTTCCCTCTGTTAAGGAGGACTAGCTAACCAAGGGAAGGGCTGTTAGGCGATCTTCCAAAGTTTTCGAGTAATGTCTAAGATGGCCTCTCGAACATTCAGCAGCTGTTTCTACTTCTGGGAGGAGAAGGTAGAGGGGCTCTCCGGTGCTTGCTGGAATGTGCCATGAACATTACGTTTGGCTTGTTAGACATCCTGAATGAAAGAGTGTGTCATTGTTCGGCATTATGTAAACTGATTCTCGGGAAAATATTCCCATACCTTGTTCATCAGTGGAAGGTCTGTGGGCTACGTACGCACAAGTCGAGAATTGCGGAGAACTCGCCGAGATTTACAACCTCATTCTTGCGACCGTAATATCTCCCTGCGCTCAGTTGCCGGTACGCTCGTTAATTACGAGATGTTGAAGAGCCAGTTCAGTGTAATGAGAAGGTTGCCATTTAAAAATTTCAAATGTTCAAAGGACATTGTTTGAAATTATACCGAAACTTCCGTGGGCTGGAAAAATGAGCGAACATTCAGGTGTCTTTTCCTCCAACAGAGTTTGAAGTACTTAGAAGAATGTAACTTGCCCTTCCTCGACAAATTGAAAGAACCCAAAAACTGGAAATCGGAGGCAAAGACTTGGCTCATTCCTAAGAGACTGATCGATTTCAAACCGCTCTCAAATTTTACCCTCCGTCTGCTCATGATTGGACATTCCGGAACAGAATTCAAGAAGTAGGTAGTCTCCAAAAAACCTTTGCCTCGTGGATATCGTAACCCTCAATCAAATCAGCTTGACGAGTCTGTGAGCTTTGGTAATTATTTGAACACTTTCTGGATTTACCCAGAAGTTCTCACTAAAAAAACTGTCAGTTCCTCTCTGGATAACTGGAAGAGGACTATAAAAAATCCCCAGAACCAAATACTTCCACAGAAAAAATCCTACGGTGTACAGTTTGCTTTAGACGACCCGACCATTGACACCGCACACATCTCGGCTCGAACAAATATCGTCACGGCACATTGACAGCTTCGCCCGAGATCTGCTATGTGATTCCGTCGGCATAGCGAAGCACTTGGCTCAGAGCTGAACGTCAAAGCACTGATTGACCTTTGAGTGCCTCATTATCACCCCTTGTCAGTACTCCCGACCAAAAGCAAAAGCCGCTTGACGACTATTTGTCACTCGTTATGAGTTGACGACCATGGGAACGTTGCTCAGCCATGCCCAAGCTGGCGGGAATTTCACCTGGGGATAGGTAGTGTGCAGTCTACGGACAACCACCGATCAGCTGGGCATAGTGGAGGCAGGAGCATTGGAACGATGAGGAATTCCCAGGAATTTCAGGAATGAAGTGAGCGAGCTGTCAGACAGTCGATGATGCCCATCACCTCAAACCACGAAAGTAAGTGATTAGGACCAATGAATGATAATTAGGAGTATCATATAGTAGAGGATAACCATGTGAAAGTAACTATGCCTCACCCATATAGCCCCTAGCAATTCCTTCCTACAAATTCACCTTCTAGCAAATCCCTGAACGTGCCCGGACAGCTCAGAAGGTAATGTCATTCTTGGGCTGGAATAGCAAATGGTAGTCAGTATACCTCAATATATCTTCATATATAAAGCTGTTATAAGATGTATCTCATGTCAAAAGTAAACAACAACAATTAGTAACCTACACGGTATTTCAAGCAAACAGCGAAAAGCACCGAATATCAATCGGGAAAGGTCTACTTGGGGAGCTTCAATGCGAGGAGTAAATGATCATAAAAAGAAGGCGAATCTTCAAGGCTGGGTCCGGGTTTGTTTATGGTACTTTTTGAATACTTCAAAGTTTACCGGCTCGATATGAATGGCCCGATTGGAAGAAATGGTCTTTTCAGGTAGAACGTTTTAGTGCCATACCTGTCCAGCTTATTTCTAACATGGACACACTTTTCTAAAGGGAGCTCATGAGAGGGGATTCTGATTAAGTAGTCGGCCTTGATCATCCTACTGAAATCGTAGGGCACTTGACCTTGCTAAAAATGAACGTTATACCGTATACGTATGTATACCCAAAAGATCGTCATATACTTCGATTTATCACTTACTATCTATTCAAAGTATCCAAGTGTAAACGTCCATAACCCGCATCTAGAGCCATTGCAGGTTTTATAAGAGGGTCAAGCAGGCCTCCACACGCTATCACGCTTCTGAAGTGGATCAGTATGTGCAGCGT